GTTAGAAGTTTTAATAAAAATGTAACAAAGGAAATTGCATTATCAAATCAGCTCAGGTGGCCTTGCTTGTCACCAATTGCTGCTTTTGTATCATGGTTGTTGTTCCCAATGGAATCTTAGCCTGGCAGCTGGTCTAAACATCAGGTGACATGGATTTTGTGTTAAACAAGTTCTGGTTTGCTCAGTGTTGATATTTTTCTTCATCGATGTGCAGGTTGTATGAGGGTCATTAAAGATCAACTCAATTGGGGATCAAAATCTGAGCTTAAAGCAGAGATTCTTCGTGGAATAAAGGAGATTGGAAGTGTTCTATATTGTATGGGGCTTCTAGATGTTGTATTGGTCAGTACTCTTAAATACTTAAAACTGATTGCTACGAGAACTACTCTTACCTAACCTAAAATCTGTTTAGATAGCCACTATAACTCTCTATTTGTGGACTGCACGGAAGATACATTAGATGTCATTAGGGGTTACATATCTGCATCACGTGCATATGGACACAAATATTTGCTTATTATATATTTTTTATGTAATATATTTTTTCTATATATTGTTTTATGAAGAATCTTATTATAAAATTTAATTTCTTATATATTTTTAAATATAATTGTAGATTATTCTTTATGTAATTATAATTTATTATAATATATGAAATTTTTTTTTATTAATGGAGAAAAAGACCCTTGGTGAATTTAATCAGATGTAAAAATTTGAGTGTATGTACTTCAATATAGAATGTGTGCATACAAACATATTTATGTTTCAAATATTTTAATATATATATGTTATATTTAATATGTATAGTTTTAATATTTCTGCATCATCATCATTTTAGATATTAATTTTACGATTATAAAAGTTCTTGTGGTAACTAATTATTTGTTGACATTTACAACTTTAAAGTAAGAAAAATAAAAATGAGTCACTTTAAATAAAAGCTGATTTATGTAGATAATTTATGTTTTTGAGAAGCTATGAAGGAGAGATAACTAATGTAAATAATTATATAAATATATAGAATCGACCCAATTAAATAATGTCATTTGTTACCACCCTAAACCCATAATTATTTATCTTCCAAATAATAAATAAATTTGTACTGCATCAATTGGAAAAAGACAAAACACAACTTTTTAGAATAAGACATAATAAATTTATATTGTTAGTAGTTATTATAACAGGCCGTGTGTCCTTATCTCCTTAATAGGCATGTAAAGTTGTATTGTATTGATTGGTAAAATATACAACTTTTTAGAATAATATATGAGAAATTAATTCATAATTTACATTGTTCATAATTGTTATAACATGCCACTTGTCCTTTCTCGTTAATAGGCATTCTTTTCAAAAGTGAGTTCAAAAAGCAACTGAACAAGAATTTTCATACAGCAGCTCACGTGAATCAAGAACAATGTGATTTTTATTTGGCAGATTAGTCATATACATTTTACATCCTCTTATAGCTCATTCATTGTATGTTTAATTTAACTGAAACTCATTTTCTCTGGCCCTCACTGTTTTAATGTCACATACAAACAGAGAGAAAAGGATACTACAAACTTCATGCAAGCAGCCCCTTGGTTGGGCTTGCTCCCTGGTGCAGATGGGCAGATACTATATTCTCAAGATAATGGAGATAGCCCTGTTGTCAGTCTATTCAAATCAGCTACTGCAGCAATCGTGTCAAATCCTGGATGTCCAAGTCCAATGTCTTTCTACACTATGTCAAAACAGGCAGAAGCTGCAGGTTTGTGTGCCTGCTCCTATTTATAGCATGGATTGTAAACTTTTCTGTTTGATCTCTCTGCATGTGCCTTGTCAGTACGTATATTTTCATATACAAACATATATTCTTGCACATTCTCTCATTTTTTTCTTAGTGTTCAGTCCGTTGATTCTAAAATTTATGCTCAGGTGAAAAGTTGCTCTCAATTAGACTTTCATTTCCTAAGGTGAGTTCAAGATATAGAAACCCCCTAAATGAAAATTGTTTAAACCCCCTAAATGCAATCCTTATTGCCATATGGTTTCAGCATTTGAGCATTCAGAGGTTCAGTTTGGTGGAAGATCAGCACTTGTGAAAGTAATATCAAAAGAAAAAAGAATGGGAATGTGGAAATGGTATGCAGTCATTATCAGAATGTCTATATAGGTATATATTAGAATAGGGAAATAGTCAATTATATTGAATTTAGGGAGAAATATGGGTTGAAGCTGAGTTTTCAGAGACCAATGGTGGTGGGGGACTCAGCAGGAATTATGAATTCCTGTGTATAAGAAAGTGGTTTTAGTTTGTTTGCTGCTCTAGGCATATCAACTGTCAACGTTTTTATTGGTTTTGGACTTGCTCGATCCAATAGTCAAAATTTATTGCCCCTCTCGGTGCCCTTCAAGGAGCTAGTGTAGCTAGTTTGGCAAAGGGAGAATAAACAATAGTCTTTTTTTTAATCCTTCTTTCTCTATCAAGGGTCCTTTTTTGTGACATTGTCTGATTTGCTGTAGTTCTGATGTTTTCACTTGTAATATACTAAAAATGATATTAATGCTTGCTTTAGCAGAACCTAAGGAACTTCTACTGATTCACTGTTTATAGTATACAGACGTTTGGTAACTGTCAAGTTGGCATGTTATATATACATAAAGTAATAACTATTGTTATGTCATGATATCAGAGCATTATAGTTGTTGCTTTATTACGCCCTTAAGTGGAAATACATGATTATTATTCTTGAATCATAACTGGAGATTGTTTCTCTGGCATGAATTACTTGTTAAGTCCAGAAGATTTGATTCCTCTAAGTACTGGTGAAAACACATATAGAAATCTCATATCTGATCTTAATAATATTCATGGCGAACAAAAGAAAGGAGTGGCCACGTTCTCTTCATTCTGCTTTGAGGAGATGCTACTTCTAAGATTTGCAATCAGATTGTACCTCATGCAAATGCCTACATGCATGACTCAAATGAGCAGAAACCATTTTTCTGGGCAAAAGAAAAAGAAAGCTGTCACCATCTGCAATCAGTCCAATCAGAGAAAAATGATCGCCCTTGGTACAAGATGCTTGAAGTATGACTGCAATCCCGATTCCATAGTTGATGACATGCCAATGATTTTTCACCTTTTTGTTATATTGCCGACATAAAAGATATTGGAGAAAGAAAAATGGAGATGTCAGCTTCACCATTTTAACTTATTTGTGCTGTTTTCTGCAAAGATAATTTTCCAAGTCAATTTCCGTGTCATCTGAGGATGTTAATACTTGGATTTCATGTATCATTTTTTGAATTTCAATAGTCCTTGTTTCTATCTTTGTTGCAGATCTTCTGTACAAGGCCAACCTGAATACTGGAAGTTTGCTTGAATATTCCCTTGCTTTTACGAGTGCAGCTCTGGATAAATATTGTGGTAAATGGAGTGCTGCTCCCAAGACAGGGTTCATTGACATTACAACTTCAAAGGATTTCTATCGCATATATAGTGGTCTTCAAATTGTAAGAGAGAATCTTCTATGACACATCTTTTCCTTTCTTTCTTTATTTTCTTTTTTTTTAATAATGACATGCAAAAAAGTAAGGTATCTGAATATAAAGTTGTCAGTTTTATCTACATTGGAGTTGTTACATAAGTTTCCGCAAAGGTAATGTGTAGTGAATGTAGTATGGGTTTGAAAATGTGATAATAAATAATCATGACTACCTTTATAAGCTTCAATTGAATGATTAATCTCCTACTATTTGTAGCAGAGATACATGTGAATCTTGGTGTCTGCCAATTGTTGCTAACCAGTTAAAAATTCTTGAAACGTAGGGTTATCTGGAGGACTGTACTCATGTCGAATCAAACAATCATGAAGTCCTTGGTGATTCAGTTGCCTGGGGTGGTTGTACCATAATATATTTGCTGGGCCAACAACTGCATTTTGAGCTTTTTGATTTTTCATATCAAGTTCTTAATGTTGCTGAAGTGGAAGCTGTATCAATTGCACAAACGCACAAGAATCCACATTTTCTCCAGGTATTAACTTTACATGTTTGCCCCAGAAATTTTCGTTGAATAACCATCATCTATGGTTTCTCTGCGAGAGGAGACCTGAACAACTTTTATTTTATCAAAGTAGTTTCTTTCCCTAAATTTCTAGCTTAACCATGACTACATATTTCTTCTGGAAAGGGATGGGAAGCTCTATTAGAGGCAATGAAGAAAGCAAGGAGATTGAACAATCATGTCTTCTCCATGCTTAAAGCACGTTGCCCTCTTGAAGACAAGACAGCTTGTGCTATCAAGCAAAGCGGTGCTCCTCTACATCGGATCAAATTCGAGAACACAGTCTCGGCATTTGAAACACTTCCACAGAAAAGTGCATGAACTCTTATGTCATCCTTCCTGGTTGATGGCATTTCCCTCATTGCATGTATTCCTATACAAGATGATTGATTCATAGCTGATCAAGTTTTCCCTGCAAATATATTGGTGATTGACCCAAATATAGATAGCCACGATGCAAAAGAGGGAGGGAAGAGAGTTGACAGAGAGATGAAAATGCAATTATCAGAGGACACTCTCAAAGTTTTTTTAGCAGACAGGCTGAAATGGGAGAGGTAAAGAAGTTATTATTAGTACAAATGAACATTGTGTTAGCTTGATTCTGTTTATAGAAATTTCAGTTAAACCTGGTTTTCTGGGTTGGATTCTAGCCATGAGGATTTTGGGTTGTGTTGTCACCAACTTTAGGTCTTGAGGTTCCAAGTACTTTTTGTATTCAAGTTGAATTTGGCTTCTTTTCACATGTTGAAAGAAAAGAAGTGATTAAAACCTTAATTACCCTGTAACATCTACGTTATCCTGTCACCTATAAATGCCAATTACCAAATTGAGTGTGTGTGAAATGAAAATCCCTTTAGGCTCTTTTGGTTCATTTCCTCTCATTTAATAATTACTACACTCTATATATATATACACACATATATAATTTTCATAGTTGAATTACGTTCCTTCATAACAAATTCTTTATAGATAGATGTTAAGATTTCGTTCATAACAAAAAATGCTATAAGCAAACTTAGGTGACAGTGTGAATTTGCTGAAGACAGTAGCTTGTGTGAAGATGAAGACAGGATTATAAAATAGTAGGATAAAGTTCAAATAAGTGAGTCAAAGAGAATATAAAATCCACCCACCAACCCTTATTTTTGTCTATGAAATTCTTCCCAAACAACTCATAATGGAAAAGCTTCATAGTTTATATGTAGACATCGCATGATGCATGTTATAATTATAACTTCTTCCTCCTAGTTGATTACATGCTAACAATTTGTCCTTCTTGGGCGGCGTTGTACCCATTATTATACACAATTCCTGTATGGATTACAAATACAAACTATTAAAATGAAACATAATTTATATTATATGACCATTGACAAGGTATTAAATATTTATTACTCAATTAATTGACTATCTCAAAAAAGAATGTTAATTTTTTGCATATACGAATGTATGGGAGGTGGGTGTTTAGTAGAAAATGTATATATACACACATCTAATTTTAAAATTTTTTATTTGTTTCAATCAAATAAGTTTTATTTTTAGTTATTAGTATTAACTAATTAATTCAATCATTTTATATATTAAATATTATATAGTCTTCAAATTAAAATCATATTTTTTTTTTACAAATTATGTAATAATTTATTCTCTACCTACTAGAATTAGTTGATTGTTAAATCTAAACTTTGACATCATAAAACGATTATAATGTTCTTCTATTCAATAAAATTTATCAAATTTCAAGAAAAAATTTCTCTAATCTAATCATTAAGTATTAATGCTCATATAACCATTGATTCAATAGAAGCAACAAAAAATAACTTGAGATTAGAAGTGTATGTATATATATACATATATATATATATGTATAACGACCTTCGTATTTTTCAATATTACTTTGCACTTAGTTTATGAACCATGTTTGAGATAATGAAATATAAAATATAAAGAAGGTAGGTGGGTATTGGGAGGAGAATGAATGAGAAAATAAAATTATATATTAGAAGTCACGGAGGGCCCACATAAGATAAAATCCACTTGGAAATATGTGTCAAAAGGGCTTGCGTGGGCCCATGCTTCCAACTTGGGTGGGTATGAGCGGCCATGACCCCTAAAACCTAATAAAATTTCAAAAAGAAGGATAATTACCAAACCACTCATTTCCCACCGATCTCTTCATTCTTTTTTACAATTATAACCCTCTTAAATAACTTTTCTTTTTTTTTTTGTGAAATTTTTTAAAAAAATTATTTAATATTTAGATATAGTGATTATTTTTTATAAAAATACTTTTTTTTTTCTTATTTTTGTCGATCTTAATTATATAATTAGTATAAGACATCTTCGACTTGTAATTAAATATCAGTTCTGTATTATAATTAATATTGAGAAAATTCTATTTCAAATTAACCTAGTGTCCGATTATTTGTATTAGATAAATTGATAATGCGTTAATTTTCATATTACTTTTTTACTAGAATCAATCTCTTATTAATACTGAAGGGATATTGTTTCAATACTTCTCTAAATATAAAAATTTTATTTGATCATTTTGGTTGGTCATGACTAAAATCTTAGAGTCATCTATTTTTTTTAAAATAAAGATGATCTTTATGTACCTACTGTATATTTCTGCAATCAAATCTTATAAATATTCTCTACACGAAAAAAGTAATTATTCTCATAAAAGTTCATAAATTCTAAGTCTCTTTTAATTTCTTCTACTTGTTCTCATATTCAATAACTCAAACTTTAGAAATTGAACTCAACAAAAAAAAATTATAATTCTATTAATTTTTTTTTAAAATTTATTTTTAATCAATATTTGAATTTTACTGTGTATTATTTAAGTTACTGATCATTTTTAATATAGTGTTAACTTTATATTTTTTAAGCTGAACCACTTTAATACCAATGTCATAATGGTATAAATTACAATATTATTCTCCTCCTAGCACTTCTTAAAGCACTTTTTTTTTTTTACTTGTTTGACCATTTTTTAGATGTTGGCATTTCTCTAAGTTGTGCATTGACATCCTTTAGAGTAGTTATTATCTTCTATAACCTCTATAAAGATTCTCTTCTTCTAGTCCACCATATCAAACTCCACTTTAAAAGTAAGGATCATATTTAGATAAATCTTATCTAATTTTGAAAAATGACAATAATTATATTTTAGTCACCTTAGATGAAGATAGTTTACATTAATATAGTAAATAATATATCATATCATACCAATTTATTTCGATGTAGACAAATAAAATTTTGTATATAGTCAAATATTGGTCAAAATTGGTCCACCTTGACGAATACTAATGTCGACTAATGTTGATTGCTACATAGACTATAGTAAGATTTTACATCTTTCAATAATCATTCTCCTTCCAAGATCAAACGATTTGTCTCTCAATAGTTATAAGATAGAGCCACATGCTAACTATAAAATATAGTTTGTATGAATACATGAGCAAAGAACATTTGATATTTTAAAACTAAAAATATATCAGTAGCTAACAGCTCATAAAGCATTACTCATTAAAATCTTAATCATTATACCTTATTAGTTAAATCATTACTTCTCATAACTTATTATTGTAATCTTAAGTCTGGTATTACGAACAAATTCAAATTATTTATATAAATGTATTATAAATAAAGGACAAGAATATATTTTCTCTACCTTTACCATATAATTTGTTAAGCTTGTACGCATAATCGTCATAATATCCCTCACGAGATTAAATATGAAGAGTCACAATTTGTTCATGTTGGTAGGTAATCTTAGCTTATGTTTATTATCAAAGACGTGCATCTATTTAACTTTTGCTTATAACTATTACTTATAGAACTTATTAAGTCTTATAGCATTCACGAAGTATTATCTAATTTATTATTATTCCTATTAGATTGACCACTGATAAAATCTTACAATCTCTAATTTAATGTAGTGCATCTAAACCATCTTTTATATTTTTAACATCGTTATAATAGTTCAAACAAATAACCTTTAGATATTTTATTATGCATTCAATTCAATATTTTTATTCTACAAAAATTATTTGGCATGTAAATTAAGTTCGATCCAAATTAATCACCCTACATTATTATATTCACAAGTCACAACCAATGGTCGTGACTAAAATCAATTAATTAATTTTGTAAATAAAAAAAAAAAAAAAGAGGAGGAGAAAAGAAACACTATTTTATGAAACGTGAAGGTGACGTCACGACCGTCGTCATCAGTGACAAGCAATGGGTAGATAGATACTAAGGTTATATAAAAAGGGGGGTACCCGAAGTGGAATCGTAGGTGTAATGGCATTCGCTTACAATACCATAAATCCCATCATCTTTTATTTTTGTATCTATATGTATTTTATATTATATATAAAAGTTTGGCCCCGTACAAGATATTTATCCCCCAAAAAAAAATAAAAAAAAATACTCACTAAACAATTATTATCAAATACAATAAAAAGAAACAACCAAATTATAATTTTCTATAAATCAAAAAATTTATATATTACTAAAAATTTTAAATAAATTATCACAGTATTTTTGTTTTAAATAAAATATAAATTTTTAATTTTTATCCTCGTATATTTTTTTCATTAACAACATATTTATTACTATTAGATAGACGTCACGTGACAAACGATATTTACACAGGCATCAAATTTATAAAATATTGCTAACGTGATAGTTACATGGCCACCATTTTCGGAATTACTGTTTTTTTTTTATCATTTTCTCTATCTCCAAACATATCTATATTAAATATAAATTTATAAAAAGACAACAAACGAAACATAAAGTTATTGCTAACATTACTCTAATGACTTTTAGCCCCTCATTTAAGTATTACCATCTACTTCAATAATATATATAAAAATACAACGTTACAAAAGAGTATGGTAATAATAGATATATTATAATGACTTTATTCTAATAACTCTCACCCTTTCATTTAAGTATTATCACCTAATTCGATGATATATGAAAATACAACGTTATAAAAGAGTATACTAATAATAAGTATAAGTAGTCACATGGTTGCAATACTGATAATATTTTTAAATTTAATACTCATATCAACACATTTTTTATCGTGTAGGTATTTGCCTAATAATATTAGACATGCTCTTAGTGGCAAAAAGTTTTTTGAATAAATTTAGAAAATACATGTCATATTTAAACGGAAACATAACGTAGAGATGGATTTAAACCTTTTTAAATAGTAAAAAAAAAAAATTAATACATCATCCCACTTGAAATTTTTAGTGGAAATTACATTGAAAAAATTTTGTGAAGTTCATTTAAAACTATATATACATATGTAGAAATCATGAAAACGAACTAATAGAGAAATATTAGTTGCAAGTAGAATTGGAACATTAATATCATTTTTTTATTAAATTTAAAAATTTATTGTCTCTGTTTGGCTGAAATTTTTTGGAAATTTATTTTTACCAACTTTTGTAGAAACATATTTTAGAATGCTTCATAATTTCTAATTAAATGATTTTTAATAAAAAATAAATTCATTTTAAATATATAGTCTACATTTTCAATTAAATTATATAAATTATTACCTTGTTACCAATTTAATCTTAAATAAATGAAGTTCTGGTATTGGAAAATATTAAGAAGTGAAAAATAAATAATGGCATTGAAGAACCCACAATTTTTTTTCTGTAATTGTCTCACAACATTTTAGTGTCTCTTCTTCAAAGAAATATATAAATATAATATATATATATATATATATATGATTTCCACTCTCTAAAAATGGAAAAGTAATAATTATTTGACTCAAAATACCACTTAGTGGAACTTGAAGATGAAAGGATAAAAACAGTTTTTAAAAAAATTGCAATGGGAAAAAGTGAATAATCTTTTCATACAATTATCTTCACATGTTTAATTATCATCTATTAATTCATTAAACAATATTTCATACTTCATAAGATAAATATATAATATATATATATATATATGATTCTCTTATAAAAATGAGATTTTTTTTGTATATTTTTAATAATAATAAAAATATTTTGCAAAATACTAAAAAAATTCTGAAAGTAAATATAATTTACTCTTTTGTAATAAAAAGATTTATTTCATAGTGTAATTTTTTTTACATTCACGTAATTATTAGTTAAGAATAATTATTTTATTAATATAATCGTATATTATGAATTTATAAATAAGATATCAATAACTAGATTTTTAAATATAAAATCTGAAACTCTCGTCGAATGTGAGTGAAATATTTTTTAATCAAAATTAAAAATTAAAAATTATATCTTAAATTTCCTGCAATTGCAAATTTATCTCAAATTGCATCCTGATAAGAAAAATTTAATTCAATTTGAACAAAATCTTGGTGTTAATTAACTTTTCAAAATTTATGGTGCAGATGACAAACAAGTCAACTAAGTATAAGCCTTTACCATAAGATATTCTTTTACAGAGCATAATTTAAATCAAAAAGGAAAAGTCAATCCAGAAATCAAATTTCATTTTTTATTTATGTCCACTGGAATTCACAAGAAGTACTTTTTGGTGCAACCAAAAAAAAAAAAGAAAAACAGAGAGAAAAGGTGGTGAACAGTTTCAGTCATCCTTTTGAATCCTTTAAAATAATGCAAGAAGAGAGAGAGAGAGAGAGAGGGGGCAAGCATGTTCGTGCTCTGTCGGCCAACTTCTCTTTCTCTCTCATATACTCCACGATCAATGCCAAGAGCTTTTCCAATCTCACAATCATTCTGTACACAGACAAACTGAACACAAATATATATAGTTTATGATTGAGTTCTTTATGTATAATAATTAAAAAAGTTGGTATTCATTGCATTTCAAGCAATTATAACGCGAAGACCCAGAAAAGATAAAACCTCCTATTCAATGCATTATCCTCTTTTCAACCCAATTACTCGGCGTTTCCCTCTCTTCAAGCTTATTTTCTTGGAAAACCCAATTTTTCCTTTAACTTTCCTGACAATCACTTGCTTTCTGGGTTGACGGTTTCCTCACCAGTTCCTCCTTTATTGTTACTCATGCGCCTCAGAAGAGGTACGTCTGTAAACCTCAGATACTGGTCTTCAGTTTCTTATTGAAGCAAGTTAACTGGGGTTTCTCCAATCGTGGATTAATCTTTCTCTGCGATACATTTGTTTGGAATATTGTGTACAAACTCCTTGAATATTTTCAGTCCGGTTTTATCTGGGTAGTTTGTGTTGTGGGCTCGTTTGCTTTTCATTCTCAAACCATGAAGCTTGAGTTGTTCATGTGAATGCATAGAGTTCTGCTTCATGGGTATGCAGAGAATGTCATATAGGTGGTTGAATGTGTTTCTTCTTGTTGTCGCCTTCTTGGTTAATGAATCGAAAGAGCTTAACATTGAGGGGCAATATCTTCTTGACATAAAGAGCAAACTTGGTGACAAATTAAACAAGCTGAGAAATTGGGATCTTAGTGATTCCAACCCTTGTAGATGGGTAGGTGTTAATTGTAGTTATGATTATTATGATCCTGTAGTTACGTCTCTTGAGTTGAGGGAAATGAATCTTTCTGGCTATTTGTCTCCTACCATTGGTGGACTGATTTATTTGACTTACCTTGATCTTTCTCACAATGATTTGTCCCGGAGTATACCGAAAGAAATTGGGAACTGTTCAAGTTTGGAAGACCTTATTCTGAACGACAACCAATTTGAAGCTCAAATCCCCAAGGAATTGGGAAAGCTTTCCTGTTTAAAAACTTTGAACATATACAATAACAGATTATCAGGGCCATTTCCAAAGGAGATTGGAAACATTTCTTCACTCTCAGAATTGTTGGCTTATAGTAACAACATCAGCGGGTCATTGCCACCTTCTTTTGGGAATCTTAAGAGATTAAGAAGCTTTCGAGCAGGACAGAACATGATATCAGGAAGTTTGCCTTCGGAGATTGGTGAATGTGAGAGCTTGGAGTATCTTGGTCTTGCACAGAATCAGTTGAGTGGTCAAATACCAAAGCAGATTGGTATGCTCAAGCATTTGAGGGAAGTGATTCTTTGGCAGAACCAGTTTTCAGGATTTGTCCCAAAGGAGCTTGGCAATTGTACAAGTTTGATTATTCTTGCTCTCTACGAGAACCAAATTGTGGGAGCAATACCAAAGGAGCTAGGAAATCTTGTGTCTCTGCAAAAGTTATACCTTTACAGAAGTCAGTTAAATGGAAGTATTCCGAGGGAGCTTGGCAATCTTTCTTCAGCTATAGAGATTGATTTTTCAGAAAATATGTTGACTGGAGAAATTCCAGTTGAGCTTGGTAAGATTTCAGGGTTGGAACTGCTTTATCTTTTTGAAAATCAACTTACAGGAATCATTCCAGTTGAGCTCACCAGTTTGAAGAATTTGACAAAGCTTGATCTCTCCATTAATTTTCTCAGAGGGCCAATTCCTAGGGGATTCCAATTTTCAACCGAACTGACTATGTTGCAGCTCTTTGATAACTTCCTCACTGGTAGTATCCCTCAAAGACTTGGGTTATATAGTAAACTTTGGGTTGTTGATTTGTCAAACAACCACTTCACAGGAAGAATACCACATTATCTTTGTAGAAATTCTAACTTGATTTTGTTGAACCTAGGGTCGAATAAGCTCGCTGGAAATATCCCAATAGGGATCATTAACTGCCCAAGCTTATTGCAGCTCCGTCTGGTCGGAAACAGCCTTACAGGCAGTTTCCCATTAGATTTGTGCAAATTGGTGAACCTCTCTGCAATTGAATTGGATCAGAACAAGTTTACTGGCCCAATTCCTTCAGGGATTGGTAACTGCAGTACTGTACAAAGATTGCACCTTGCAGATAATTACTTCACAGGTTCGTTGCCAAAGGAGATTGGTGATCTTTCCCAACTTGTCACCTTCAATGTCTCATCAAATTCTTTAACAGGAGAAATACCATCAGAGATTTTTAAATGTAAGATGCTCCAACGACTTGACCTTAGTCGGAACAATTTTGCTGGTCCTTTGCCTAGTGAGATAGGATCACTTTCCCAACTGGAGCTTCTCATGCTTTCAGATAATAAGCTGTCTGGTGCTATACCTGTGGAACTAGGAAATTTGGAACGCTTGACTGAGTTACAGATGGGTGGCAACTCATTTTCTGGTACTATACCTGCTGAGTTGGGTGCTCTCACAGGCCTACAGATAGCATTGAATTTGAGTTATAACAATCTCTCAGGTGAAATCCCTGCGCGGCTTGGGAATATTGTTTTACTAGAATTTCTTCTGCTGAACAACAACCAGTTGACTGGTGAAATTCCGACCTCATTTGGTAATTTATCAGGTTTACTTGGCTGCAATTTTTCTTACAATGATCTGACGGGGCCTATTCCTTCCTTGCTGCCCTTTAAAAATATGCCTGTCAGCAGCTTTATTGGGAACAAGGGACTTTGTGGTCAACCTCTTGGTAATTGCGATGGAACAACATCTCCACTTCCTCTTCTGCCAGCTTCAGAAAGGGAAAAAACAAGTTTGGGTAGAATCATAGCTATAGTTGCAGCAGTTATCGGTGGAGTTTCCCTCATTTTGATTGTGGTTATCATTTACTTCATGAGAAAGCCAGCTGTTGATACAGTTGTTCCTTCCCAAGATAAACCCTCAACTTCTCCAGTTTCAGATATTTACTTCTCTCCCAAGGAAGGTTTTACTTTCCAGGACTTGGTTGCAGCCACTGACAACTTCGATGATTGTTTTGTTATTGGAAGGGGAGCTTGTGGAACTGTATATAAAGCAGTCTTACCAACTGGTCAAACTATTGCTGTTAAGAAGCTGGGATCGAACAGAGAGGGCAATAATTATGTAGACAATAGCTTCATCACAGAAATTGCAACGTTGGGAAATATCAGGCACCGGAATATTGTGAAGCTCTATGGTTTCTGCTACCACCAAGGTTCCAATCTTCTCCTTTACGAGTACATGTCAAAAGGAAGTCTTGGAGAAATGCTTCATGGAGCATCCTGCAGTCTTGATTGGCCAACGAGGTTCACCATTGCACTTGGAGCAGCTCAGGGACTTGCGTATTTACACCATGACTGTAAGCCTGGGATTTTTCACCGTGACATCAAATCCAATAACATACTACTTGATGATAAGTTTGAAGCTCATGTTGGGGATTTTGGACTAGCAAAGATGATAGACATGCCACAATCTAAATCAATGTCTGCAATTGCAGGTTCTTATGGCTACATTGCTCCCGGTAAGCTATCTTCCAGCCCCTCTTATTTTATGACCTTTCTGCTTCTACTTTGTTTTGTTGAGAAGATTAGTTGTTTGCTGCTTAGATTATCTCTGTTTCTAGTGGTTCGATATATATGATGTTGTTGATGCTATATAGAATTACTTGGATTTATAATTAAAATTCCATCTTAAACATGATACTGCAGCATTTAATTTCCCGAATTATTATACAGTTCTAAACCATTTTAATTAAGTAGGTTATCTGGTGATTTTGATCATTGTCATTACGAAATGATTGTCATATTTTAAAAATTTAAGATTATAATTCTAGTACTCTTTTTCTAACGATTATGATGATCATCTGGATGCCAGAATATGCATACACAATGAAGGTCACAGAAAAATGTGACATCTACAGCTATGGAGTGGTTCTACTGGAGTTGCTGACAGGAAAAGCGCCTGTTCAGCCACTAGATCAAGGTGGTGATTTGGTTACGTGGGTGAAAAACTA